TCACGACTTTTGACTGTTGGGCGCTCGCTCTTGTGGGAAGGTCACGTGCATGGGTGCGCCATCGATATGCATGGGCAGCAGGCTAGATGAAGCTCGGCAGCGCGCGTGGGGGCGGTGCATGCTAGAAGTCAGATAGGTCGCAACCCGAGGACCCCTATCCTAGACACGCTCCACCAACTCAATTCAGCACTCATCGAGACTTTGAATCAGCTTGTCATTGTCTCCCTCCACACGAACAAGGGCACTTACGCGGAGTTATTTCCAAGCATCACTTCGGCTAAACATTTCTCTCGCTCCCAACATCGTTTCGATCCGTCTGACGACCGGGGCCGTCGTGGATACGACACGCTCACAAATCGCCTCATCATGTCATCCAGCGGGCCACCCGGAGCCACGCTGCTTCAAGCAGGAAGCAGAGCTCGGGGCACAAGCACGCGTCATCCACGTCAATCATCCGGTGTATACAGCACATTTTCAGCCAAACAGATTCACGGATTCAGAGAAGCTTTTTCCATGCTGGACGACTCGTCGTCGGATGGGTTTTTGGATGCCAACGATCTGAAAAGGGTGTTGGGAGATTTGGGAATGAGAAACGAGGAAGAGGATGTGAGGAAATTGCTAAGCAGCGCTAATACCGATGCGCAAGGAAGGATCAACTTTACGCAATTCTTGACCATGTTTGGAGAACATTTGGATGAGGTGAGTGGGGCATGCTGGATGTTCTGCGGGATGAAGGCGTTCGGTGCAATCGACCCATGCAAGCAAGGGTGCTCACATTGTGAAACTTCCTTCCCATATCCAGCTTGACGAGGCTTCTGACCTCTTGTCGGCTTTCGAGTGCTTTGACGAGAGGGATGAAGGTAGCATAGAGAGTGGGGAGCTCAGATATTGGCTAGCAGAAGTGGGGGACAAGATGACGGACGAAGAGGTGAGTCTTCCATGTCCGATAAGGCGGGTAGCAAGCGGGGATAGTCCAGGTTCATCTCGCGAGACGACCCGTTCGAAGAAGCGCAGCTCTGGGCCCGACTGCGGGCGACTACGATGGCGTCTGCCAGGCGTATGGACATGGGTGTCCTTCGAGGCTGAGCGCATCGCGTGGCCGCAATCATGCTCTTCTTCATCCTGCGTTCAGCGTCCCAGAGAAGCGTTGCCGAGAATCAACAAGACGATGTGGCGAGATGTCGAAGCTGACAGCCATCGCTTGCTCCATCAGATCGACCGTCTCATCTCCGGTCCATTTTTGGATCGCGCAGGACGCAAGTTTGACTACAAAGCTTGTGAGTGAACCTTCGAGATGAGGCGCACTAGCATCAGAGGTGGCCATCATTCGCATACAAGCGCATGCGAGCAGCCTGCGAGCAGCCCAGCACTCTGAGGAGACATCCCACTGAGGTGCCGACTGACAATGCCTGCCTCCTCTCGACCATCGCCGCGTTGCAGTTGTGGAAGCTGTCAAGATGAGCGAGCCCGCCGCTTTGGAGATGCAGAGCTCTGCGCCTGCTTGACTCATCAGCGCCTCTTCGAGCTTCCAAGCTTCCTCAGTCCTGCGGTTCCCAGCGTCGAGTATACCGCTTTCATCTCCACATTGTGCAATACAACATCAAATTGATCTAGCATTTTGCATCCTCGAGTTGATTGCGACTTGATGCGCATGCGCTTTTGGTCGAGATGCACGGTGCGGTACACGATCATCTGTCGCTCGCCTCACAAGCCATCTTTCTCAAGCTTCTTCTTGGTCTGTTCAAAGACGGTGTCCACCTCGGCGGTGAACTTTTTTGTTGTTTCGTCAAGCTAAAAAGCAGACGAGAGGATGAGAGAGGCCGGGTCAGCATCGACTGTTCTAGCTGCGGTCATTAGACCATGCGCAACACTCTTCTCGAAGGCACCGCGAAGCGCTGCGCATGCCTGGCCAGCGAAGCATGAGCAGAGACGGCTGACATTGGCAGCAACTTACGGATTTCTGATCGTTCCTACCGATTTCTGTTCCAACCACTTTATTCTTCTCGTCTGCTCTGATCTTCTTCTGAGCTATGTGCCGTGCAGATCGTATCGACGTCCTGGCATTCTCGCAAATGTTTGAGATCTGCTTGAGAAGATTTTGACGGGATTCCGTATTCGGTCTGAGGCATCACAAAATTCACGAGAGCAGTGGATGGTGTGGTCGAATCAGCTGATGCGCGCCAAACCACGAAATGGGACTTACTGCGGAACAGGAATGCGGAGGACACCCTCCTCGCCCGTTTGTTGCGGCGTCAAGCCTAGATCCGCCATGTAGATTCCTCGCTCAACCGCCTTGACGTACTGCAATAGCAAGAGGGCATCGCAAATAGCGCATGTATGCTACTTGTCAGACGGAATGTTATTAGTCTGCCTTGGAACTATTCTTGTGCTCACCTCTGGATCGAAACAAGTAACGAGCAGCGCGCCATCGCGAACGCCCACTGTAGCCACCTCTCTCAAGGGATAGTCTTCGCCCTTTGAATTTCCAGTTCCAGAAAGAGGCACGCGGACGGGGTCGAGGAGTGCTGGAATGGTGTAGACACGATAAATATGATCAGCTATGGATGCGCATACATCCCACATCGAGTCAAAGCTGATGCGATTGCCAGGCCCATTGTACTGACCGGGGTCGACTCTTCCAAAGCTTCCGACCATCTGGGCTACGGTGTCTTTGGCTCTTTTGACGCTTCTGCTCATATTCTCTCGCACTTGATCAGCATCGAAAGCTTCCTCAGTATCCAAAACCTCGTTCCAGTCCTCCTCTGTTCGACCGGAAGCGCTTCTCTTCTTGCTGTTCACGCCACCTACGTTGAAGGATTTGGATCCTGAAGAGCCTTTTCGACTTTCTGATGCTCCGGCCGGTCCATCCTCGGAAGCTGGAAGTGTCACATTCGTTTTCTTCGCTGTGGACTTTTTGGATTTGTGACGGATCCCTTCGACGTTGGGCGTCAGCTTCAGGGTGTGGTTGAAGCTGTTTCCGGAGCTCCCAGACCTGCACTCAAACTTCCGAGATGCCGTTCTGACAGGCGAAATCGACGGAGAGGGGATTGCTCGGGCTTTCAGGAAGCTGCACGTCGATACTGATTTTGCAGGCCGCTTTTGAACAAGCGCACCCATAGCTCGTTGCGCGACTCGCGGCGTGACCGACATGTTCAACGTTGCCCTGGGACGTGATTGTTCCTGAGTTGGATGCCTCCGCACTGCGGTGATAAGAGCGAGTTGAGCTGATTGACAAAATGCGCTTTGGCGTCAAGTCTGTGAGGGAGGGGTGGCTTGATCAGGCGGACGTGGTTGCAACTCAGAGGTGGAAGGATCGTTTGTCTTTGAGTGGAGGTCGCGCTGATCAACACGCGAAGATTTGCTCAGGCTAGCGTTTCACGTGACTGTCTCCCACCAACAGGGTCACCGCGCCTTGGCATGGGATACGTGTCCACGCAGAGGTGTCGGAGTCTTTGAGTGGGCGGTCCAAAGCACAAGTGGATGAGATGGTGAGCTTCTTAATTCCGGACTGTGACTCACGACTGTCATTCAGAGGTCCCTCCACCGACACTCGGCCAACGACTCACAACCCAACCCTCAATCTCGTAGTGTGCTCTGAATACCGAAGAGAAGACTCTTCCACGACTTAGCGACTATGCCCACGAAGCTAGAATAGACACCGAGAAAGAGTACGCCAGTTTGCACAGCCCTTGGTCTGTTCGAGCGACCCGAGGTGAGCCGACAATGTCATACGGCTCCAAAGGCAAGGCACCAAGTAGCGGGCCACCTCCCAAGCGCTCTTCCTCACCGCCTATTGACGATGCGAGCGCATACAAGGAGAAGACGGTGCAATACGCGAGCTACACCTCCGCTGCTGCTGCTCCTTCTCAGGCTCCATTCTCACCGCCAAACACAGCACAGTGGTTCTCCTCTCCACCTTCGTCTGCGCCAGGTATGGCGCATGCATACGCGGCAAATGTGGCCACGCCTGGTCCAAGCACCGCCAAATTGTATGCCGAGCAACCCGATACGGCTGACCAGTTTCAATTCTCCACAACACTCCGGAAAGGTAGGTGGCACTCATCAGCGCGAGTACACTATGCGGCATGCCCTGAATGCTGACAGGCGGCCTCACTAATGACGTACATCTCTGAAAGCATCAATCCATGGAGAAGAGGCAGGGCGTGCGTCATACCCGCCTGCTCCACAGCCCTCTTCAAGCTCGGCCTCGCTGCACTACACACACGAACCCATCGCTGCTATCCTACACTCCCTCGCTACGTCGCTGGAGACAGGACTCTCCGCGTCCTCGGGCGCAGTGGAGTCAGCCAGGACGAGGGCAGGAGGGCCAAACGAATTCACAGTCAAGGCATCCGATCCGCCCTGGAGGAAGTTCTTGGATCAGTTCAAGGAACCCTTGATTTTGCTTTTGATGGGCAGCGCTGCAGTGAGCGCATTCATGGGAGAATGGGATGATGCTGTAAGCATTACCATCGCCGTTGTCATAGTCATCTCCGGTGAGTTTTTTGAACGACGCGCATACGCGGATCTGACGCTGTGTGAGGAATCGAGCTGAAGGTGGGGTCTTGCCATGCGCAAATCAGTCGCATTTGTGCAGGAGCAAAGGTCGGAAGCTTCACTGGAAGCATTGAACAAGCTGGTTCCGCACTACGCTCACCTGATCAGAGACAATGTTCAGACCACCGTACTAGCCAACGAGCTGGTTCCTGGAGATCTAGTCACCTTTTCAACCGGTGATAGAATCCCAGCTGATATCAGGATAGCACACTCGGTAGCTCTGGAGATCGACGAAAGCACGCTGACTGGAGAGACGAGGCCTAGGCGGAAAGTTGCAGAAGTAATTCCCAGGAGTGCGGACGGATCCGACGTTGCCATCGCGGATAGAGACAACATTGCGTTTATGGGCACTCTGGTCAAAAGTGGTGAGCTTGTCTTCTTTCAGGTGGTGCGCAAAGTCATCGCCACCACTAAAAACATAAAATTCATGGCCAAATCTGGATGACCAGGGTATGGGCGAGGCGTTGTCGTAGGAACAGGAGCTCGCACCGAGTTTGGTATGATTTTCAGCATGGTGGACGAAGTCACTGAGAAGAGGACGCCTTTGCAACTCAGTATGGACGAACTTGCACAGAAGCTGAGCTTGATCAGCTTTGCCATCATTGGGGTGATCTGCATTATGGGAGTACTGCAGAGCAAGCCTTGGTTGGAGATGTTCACAATTGGAGGTAAGTAGAGGGACTCGACCAACGCCGGTTCCAGGCGCCCACCTTTATAGAAAAAACGAATTGAGCGCTTCCCGAATTCCCTTTGGCGTCCCCAGTGTCATTAGCGGTCGCGGCCATCCCAGAAGGATTGCCAATCGTGGTCACAGTCACTCTGGCCCTCGGTGTGCTTCGCATGTCCAAACGAAAAGCGATCGTGAAGCGCTTGCCATGCGTGGAGACTTTGGGCTGCGTATCGGTCATTTGCTCCGACAAGACGGGAACTCTAACCTGCAATCAGATGGCCGTCGTGCGCGCATTCACATTCGAGGACGGTCAGATCGACTTGAATAAGGCAATCCCACACAAACCATCGGAAGCTTTGCAACGGAGCCTATTAGTTGGCAATTTGTGCAACAACTCCCACAGAGACTCGAATGGGCACTTCGTCGGGCAAGCTACGGACGTAGCTATGGTTGATGTTCTAGCCTTATTCTCACTCGAGGACAAGAGGCCTTACTTTCAAATTTCTCACGAGGTGCCCTTTGACTCGGAAACCAAATTTATGGCTGTAGTCGGCAACCTGCCATCCGCGGCAGGAGGCAAGGCGGATGAGGTCACTTTCGCGAAGGGCGCCTTAGAGGTGATCCTCAACCGATGTGCTACCTACATGGGCACACAAGGAAGAAGAGTTAATCTGGACGACCAAGCGAGCAAACGAATTGCAGATGCAGCGCAGGAGCTTGCTGGTTCGGGCTTGAGAGTCCTCGCTACTGCAGTCGGCTCCACAAACAACGCACATGAGAACAAAAGCCTGACTTTCTGTGCTCTTGCAGCTATGCAGGATCCTCCTAGACCTGGTGTGCAAGAAGCAGTGGCTGCACTGTCCAGGGGCGGGGTCAGCGTCGTCATGATCACAGGAGACTCGGAGTCCACAGCGGTCGCCATTGCGCGTCAAATTGGTATTTTGCGGGGATCATCAACAGCTTCCAGCGTCATGACTGGCAAGCAGATCGATCAGCTATCCGAAGCTCAGCTTGAGGAGAGGATAGGAAACGTAGCTGTCTTTGCTAGGACCACACCGAGGCACAAGATGTCCATCGTCAAGGCTTTCCAGGAAAAAGGACACGTGGTCGCTATGACTGGTGACGGTGTCAATGACGCCCCGAGCTTGAAACAAGCCGACATTGGCATTTCGATGGGTCAAGGAGGTACAGATGTGGCAAAGGAGGCGGCTGACGTGATACTGGTGCACGACAACTTTGCCACCATTTTGCCCGCCGTGGAGGAGGGTGAGTAGTGTCAGAGTGGTATGACCTCATTCAGCAAGCACGCTGACTTACATGGGTCTTGCGTACTGATGCGTGACTCGCAACTAGGCAAAGGGATATTCTTCAATATTCAAAACTTCCTCAGCTTTCAGCTGTCGACTGCAGTCGCAGCTCTGACGCTGATCACTCTGTGCACAGCTTTCGGTCTCAAACTACCGCTGAACCCCATGCAAATCCTCTTTATCAATATCCTTATGGACGGACCTCCTTCGCAAAGCCTCGGCGTGGACCCTGTGGATCCTGGTGTCATGCTGAGACCGCCCAGATCTAAGACGGCGCCCATCATCACTCGAAAATTGATTGCCAGAATATGCTTCTCGGCTAGCATCATTGTTGTGGGTACTCTGTGGGTCTATGTCCACGAACTTCAAGATGGATTTGCTGATCAGAGAGATCAGACCATGGTGAGTCATCAATCACTCAAATCGATCGAGATGATCAGATTGGGTCAAGGCTGAACGCTTCGCGCCTTCTTCCGCGCGCAGACGTTCACATGCTTCGTCTTGTTGGATTTGACGTCGGCAATCCAGAACAGAGGATTATCAACACCGCTGAACGGCAACAAGATGTTGACGTTGACCATCTCCGCATCTTTGTTCACTCAACTTCTCCTCGTCTACTTTCCACCTCTTCAGGGCGTCTTTCAGACGCAGGCACTCGCTTTTGCAGATCTCGCGCTCCTGCTCTTCATCGCTGCTCTCGGCTTTGCGGCACATGAGGGACGGAGGAGATACGAAAGAGGAATAAATCAGATAGGAGACCATTGGCAAGACGAAATGGCCTAGGCGACCTATGTATATAGCAAGGATGCACCGTCTCTTGACTCATTGCAAATCTCATCCTCAGCAACATCATCCTTGTGCGACTTGCAGAGGCGGGAGAGAACACGCAGTAAGGTGCAGCGCAGGACCAGAGTCATCACTACAGACAAGTGTGTCATGACAAGGCCAGCTCGTGATTCATTAGCTACAATTGGAAGGAACGGAACAGGCGCAGTTATAATCGTGCTTAATTTAGGAGCGAGCCAGCTCGCAGACATGAGAGGAGGTGGTTGAATCACGAAGCTCTGCATCGGCATTGGTCCCTTGCACGAGACCGACACCGCACGAGCGGGAGGATCTAAATTCGCGCTTCAGCCGGCTTGCCAAAAGGCACGCGTCTTACCTTTGCTGGTTTCTGACCCTTACCGTGCTTTGGACCATGTTGCTTCTGAGCAGCCGGCACAGACTTGAGAGGTTTTTCTGGCTTTGAATCACGTCCGTGCTCCTGATTCACGTGATCACGGGCAGCAGGCTGAAGTGCCTTTGACGGCTGGTGAGGACCTTTGCGCTTGGGTCTCTCAGCATCTGAACGCTGCGACTCTTCATTCGTGCCATCTTCACCTTGTTCAATCCCTCGACGCTGCGAGGCAGGCTTTGGTGGACGTCCGGCGCCGTCGGTGGGTCTCTTTGGATGATGATCCAGCTTGGTGGGTGGAGCAGACCCAACACGCCCCTCGTCGTGTGACGTCTTCTCGTGACGTTTCTCGGCCTGATCATCTCCAGACTTTTGTTGACCTTTGCCTTTGCCGCCCTTTGGAGCATCTTGGGTCGGTAGAGGACGAGGTTCATCGCTGGGCTTTGCACCTTTGGGTGCCTTTGGTCCTGGCCAAATCCTGCCGTTGTCCTCTTTGTCACCTTTTTTGACTTCATCCGAGCGTGCTTGAGGGCGCTCTGGTGCGCCATCCGGCTGGCTTGCAGGTTTGCGATAGTGCTTTGGTGGCTGACCAGACGGCTTCGGAGCATCAGACGGCTTGTTCATCGGAGATCCATCTTCAGATTGATCAGAGTCAAGCTTTGGCTCGTCAGCATCTTGATGCTCGTCACGCTCTGCTGGACGAAGTGCTTTGGTCCCTGATGGGCCGTTTGGCGGAGCTTTTGGATGGCGGTTGCTTCCTTTGGCACCGTGATGGTTGTTTCGGTATTCGTGACTTGCGTTCACCGGTTGCTCAGAGGCGTCCCGCGCGTTGAGACCGTTTTCTTGAGGACGGGGGCCTGACGGAGGCTTACTGTCGTGCTTCCACGAGGGTGGCTTCCCAGCATGACCCTGCTCTGTTGGGGCAGACGATGGGTGCACATCGCCCGAAATCTCTTCGGCACGCTCGTGTGGAGGGTGTGCGCGCCCGTCCTGCGGAGCGTCATCGAGCAACTGATCGGATTGGTACGCCTTGGTTGAGTTCTTGTACAATCCAGCTTGCTTGAGAACTCTGGCAGACAAGTGTTGCTTGTGATCGCTGCCCTTTAGCGGCGCGTGATGAGCACCTGCAGGAACGGAGATACCGTCAAATTTGGGACGGACAGGAATACTTTCCGAAGCGCTCCTGTGTGCTGTGGCACTCGTTGCCAGCACGAGTGCTAGGGCGAGGAGAGAGACGGTGATTGGAAGACGCATTCTGATGTAGACTGTCGGTCGGGTGTGCGGAAATGTGATTGTCGTCAATGACCAGATTGACGGCTGTGTAATATGAGGTAGTCGGTGAGAGAAGGTGGGACAGTAGATGGATGAAGGCGACGGATGACGTTGACTTGCGAAAAGCGCGCCTTTTGTACCTTTCTTGAAAGCACTAAAGCAAGAGCAAGAGTCGAGCACCAATGCAGCTCCAACCACTCTAAGTTGCACAATGCTGCGGTGTCTTGCACAATTATCCCGCAGGGAACTCAGCGAGAAGGATGGCCGTCCACGTTTGGCACCTCAAAAAATAATTATGCAGCGTGGAAGTGTCTGTTCAAGGAGACTCTTTGAGTCCACTACTATCCTTGTTAGACGATGCGACCGACGCTGGTGGAGGTAATGCACAACTGGCAAGTGCAAGCAGGCGTTCAGGCCTTGGGAGCAACGCAGGTCTGGCATTGCGTCATGGTCGGAGCAGAGCTGACGATGCTATTTAGAGGAGGTCTCATCGAGGGCTCGAAAGGCGTCGTGGACCCTGTAGCTCACTCCAGGACTTGCTGGTCGTGCGCTCTGAACAGGATTTTCGGAGCGAAATTGGAATGCTGTACCCGAGAACAGACGTGGGGAAGGCTCGCAAGGCAAGGTGCCCAGTCGGCCATTGGCGCGACTTGGCAGCCGTAAGGCAGGGGAGAGGATGACAGTCAAGAGTATCGACCCTCGAAAAGTCTAGACATGCTTCTGCACTCTTTCAGCACCCGGTCGGCTGCTTCGGGGTTTGAATTCGAGGTCTCGCGAGTGCTGAAGAGGGCAGCGATCCGATATCTCTTTTGTGCAGCGTGATGCCGTACGCTGTGCATTGTGAGGGCATTGCTCGCTGCGCCAAAGCTGATCTTTTCCATTTGCTGCCTTGAATGGAGACGGTCGAAGCCATGCCTGCGCCAATTTGCTGCGATTCAGGTGAAGCGATGCGGCCATTTGGTGCGCACCGACCCTTGAGGTAAAGGGAACTGGGCAGCCTAAGACGAAATTTGCTTCTGCTATCTGATGAAGACGCCATTCATGCGAGGGAAGCGGCTCGCAATTGCGATTATCCAGGGGACTTGACGACGTGTGTGCCGGTCAGCAAGTGTCGGCTTGCCTCCTTCTGAGGATGTGCATCCCTCGACCCCACGTCGCGCCGCAGGCAGTGTCTGCATCGGCATCCTGCTGCTATGTGGCTTTCCGTTGCGTGACCATACTCGCACCCTCTTTCTTGACCAAAATCAGAGCCTGTGCTCCATGCTCACGCTTTGATCGCACGTCGTCGATTTCGTGGTGACGTATATCGTGTCTTGAGGCGACTGAGTCCTCGTGGTTTTGTCGAGAATCAGCGCCGGGTTGAAGCTCTGTGAACACACATACACGCGGTACGGTTGGGATCGTGAATCTCTGTCACGCCCTGCTTGGAGCCACGGATAGTATGCATTCTGATTGGACTCAATCAGTCTGAGTCGCGAGTCAAGTTGACAATCACGAATGGAGATCAGGACGATCCTGACTCAACCATCGTCGAGCAGTTGCTCGACGCCAGAGTCACAAGGTGCTCAACGCTGCCTTGTGTCATTCTCGACAACACTTCAAGCTCCGCAGATATTGCTGGTGCAGCAGCTCGTATGCATGTCGTTGCTCGATATGCCAACTTGACGCGAGAGGTCTCAGAATCGTTTTGACAAATCGCGAATGCCATCTTCAATCACGAATGTGTCGAGTCAAAAGTGCTCAACAGTCACATTCGCGTTGCGTCGTCATTTCCGTGAAGAAGTTGCCGATGTATTCAAAGTAGTAGTAGATTCATCTATTTCAGACAACAGATGAGAGGGAGAAAGGGTACTTGAAGTGAAGTCACGAGTTATTTATGACTCAGTGTTGTCGAGTGCGACATGTGAATGGGGGTCGAGTGACCGTCCGTTGGCCAATTTGAGTGCGCATGCACGAGCCG